GGCTTAAACTTGCAATCCTCCTGCCTCAGCTTCCCAGAGTGCTGGGATTCAGATCACAGGTATGCACAACCATGCTTGGCTTCATTTCCTGATTAACATGGTAGTTAATACTGAAGAGACAGTGCTCCTCCAGCCTCCAACAATCCTACAAGTTTAAGTATGCCAAGAATGCAAAGCCCTGAGCAATCCTTAAACCTAAGCTTTTCTGTACCTGGTAACCTTGAAAGATGAAACAGCATCTCCTCCTAACGAAGAGCAGGCTTACTTACTGCTTTCTCCAAAAGGAGGCCTAGTGAGGACAGCAGAGAGCTCAAGGCCTACTTGAGCTATACAGTGAGTTCAAGGCCTGCCTGGACTACAGACCCCGTCTCAAAAAAAGTTAGTTCCCCTACATGTTCTTTAGCTGCAACACAAGCCCATTAGGAGAACATCCATCTTGCTATAGTGTATCATTCTCATGGGATCTGGGGGAAAGGGAAATTTATGCAAATATGTTAATTCTTATGCTGTTTGCTATACTGTTAATAGTATATTCCTCTGTCTCTGACCCAGGAGTCTCCCAGTTTCTGTCAGCATCCAGTAAAAACAGTAATAGGCAAGCTTATCATTTGCAAGTACTTAGAGTAAAATAAAATCCCAGACCCATTATTGTACCTGGGGTCAAACTCATCAAACCAGACACCTAACATGGGTACAATGTACTAAGTATAAATTGAGGGGGAAGAGAAATGGTACAGAAGAAAGGAAATGGGCAAGGAGAAAAAAGAAAACATGTACTACAGCTCCCTGACCTATGGAGGCAGGACTGTATTATAGGAAGACCTCCAACTGTAATCCCCTAGATGTGTCCCATCCTATCAAAACAATAAATGGCATACCCCTGTGAGAACTACAGAGGATGTACCAACTTCAAAGATTTGATGGTGATTGTTATGACACTCTAATTTCAATGTGGCCGAAGAGGTGAGTCTTGGAGAAAGACTGTAGAAGATTATAGTTAATCACATCTAGTGGTGACTCCAATTTTAACTGTTCCAGATAGTCACATCACTAGGACAAATCAACATGGCCCCTAGTAATATGTAACCACCAAGTTTTCTAAACCACAAAAACAGATCACCAAAAGCTCCTTTTATCTCACATTCCAGTAATACCTTTACTATCTTGGCTCAGAGCTACATCAGCACTCCGGCTGTCTTTCATTATCTGGTCCACAGAGACTCTGTGTAACTGAACAGCACACAAGTCCACTACCCTGTTTAATACTACTTGTGTCCTATGTTTAAAATGTCCTATTTTCTAAACTATTTATTAATACCCTTTGGTTATTTTCCTAGAGGTTGCTGCCCTTTTACTATCGATCTGTAATCTCTTATCTAGTCAAACAGTAAGCCCTTGCCAATTATAGGCACTGTAAATATTTTTCCTCTCATTATTTCATCTTTTGTTGAACGAAAATCTTTTATTTTTATATAAACAAAGTCATTATTTTTTAACCTGTATAAGCTTTTGAATCATTTAGAAGTCCTTCCCTGTCCATAGGAAAAGGGTTTCTTCAACATTTTCTATTAACTTTGTAGTTTTTTCTTAGGTCTGTAATTCATTCAGAGTACACCTGTTTACAGTGTCAAATTTGTTTCTTCACTTGTTTTGTTTTGGGTTTTTTTTGTTTTTTTTTTTGTTTTTTTTTTCCCGGTACCGGGAATCGAACTCACGACCTTGCGCTTGCCAGGCAGGCACTGTGCCACTGAGCTAAATCCCCAGCCCCTCTTCACTTAAAATAAGCCATTCTACCTAACATATGACTCCTCTCTCCAGTAATGTATGATGTTATCTTCATCTTGTTTTACATATATAGTTTAAAATATATATATATGTACATATATATATTTTCCTGCCCTCTAATTTGTTCCTTTTGTACTTATATCAGCCCTTGCATTTATACGAGCAAAGTTACTACTACAGTTTTGAAATATTATTTTAACTTCTGATAAGGCAAGCTAACCCCCAAAACAAATCTTTAAAACTGGTCAGTAATTCCCTAATTTTATTCACCTACCATAAATTTTAGATTTAGGTTACTGAGTTTGTCAAAAAAGGCAAATGGGGGCTGGGGATTTAGCTCAGCAGCAAAAGTGCCTGCCTGGCAAGCGCAAGGTCATGAGTTTGGTTCCCAGTACCGGAGAAAAACCAAAAAAAAAAAAAAAAAAAAAGGCAAATGTAATTTTGATGGCATGCAAATTGAATTACTAGATTTAAACTGAGAAAACTAATTGTTTACAATAATTAGATTAAGGGCACAGAACCTTCTGCCATTTGTTTGGATACGCTTCTAGATCCTTATAGTTTTCCAGTTTCTCCTTAAAGGTCTTGTATATTCTTAGGTTATTTTCTAGAAGATTTATAGTCTGTTTGCTATTTTGAACATGGCCTCTACTTTTCACTACTTTTAGGGCAATGTCATTTTTTGTAGGTTGACCTTAAATCTGAACAACTCCTCCAAACTCTTACTAATCCTAACAACTTCTCTTTTTCTCATTAGTAACTGTTAGTAGTACATGATGATCACACACCTCCTGGGAAGTTGATATACGCACTTTTTTTTAATCCCCTTTTCCCTACCCTCCCCCTTCCCCATCCCTCCATCTCTCGGTCCCCTTCTCCTCTGCAAAAGATCTCAGTACTATTGACTGATTTCAATAATTTGTAATAAATTACATTCTCTGCAAAATATGATTTTATTCTTTACATTCCAGCCTTTATAACTTATTTTCCTTCCTTACAATTTTAACCAGGACCTTTCTTACCATATTAACCAGTAATGAATAGGAACATCCTTATCTTCTTACCATCTTAAAGTGCATATATCTAAAATTCCTCCACTAGTTATAATTCCCAGTACATTTTTTTTTTGGTACCAGGAATCAAACGCAGGACCTTGTGCTTGCTAGGCAGTCACTTGTGCCGCTGAGCTATATCCCCAGCCCTCCAGTGCATTTCTGATAATGATTTTTGTTTGTTTGTTTGTTTGTTTTATTTTTTTCCAGTACCGGGAACCGAACTCACGACCTTGAACTTGCCAGTCAGGCACTGTGCCACTCAGCTAAATCCCCAGCCCCTGATCATGATTTTCAACTAGGTAGCTCTTACTCCTAACTTGCCAACAGCTTTTGTCATAAATGCTAGATCTTATCAAACGAAATAACGGTAATTTTCTCCTTCCACTGAGAAATTACATTAACAGAAATACAGATGTTGAACTATGCTGACATTTCTAGGACAGCTATGGATTACCATTCTTTAACACAAGCCTGTATTTGATGAGCTGATACTGTGTGAGACTTCATTTCCATGCTAGTAAGTGAAACACATCCACACTTTTATCTAGTTTTAGAATTAAGATACCACTAAACTCATAAAATTAGTTTGGCATTTTTTTTTCTATTTCCCATAACATGTAAAAAGGAACTGTTATTTAAGTTTGCTAGCTAAGTATCTGGATCCAGAGTTTTCAAAAGGGGAGGTCTTTAACAGTACTACTTCAGTTTATTAAATACTTCAAGCTATTTCTTCTGATACCAACTTTCAGAATTCGTAAGTTCTCTAAGAATTACACTAGGCTTTCAAATTTACTGACATACAGTAATTATTAGTGTTCTTTTGAAAAGCTTTGTATTTGTAATTTTTCATTTTCTACTTATTTTATTTATACTGTCTTTTTTTCGTCATCAATCTTATCAGAGGTCTGCCCAGCTTATTAATCTATTCAAAGAACTACCTTTTGGTTTGGCAAAGTCTTTTGTTCTCAACTTCACTGATTTCTGCTCTTAACTGCTGCTTTTTTTAATTCTTCAAATGAACTGTTAAGCACTAATGCAAGCTTTCTACAGCATTTACATAAATTACTTTGCCATTTTGTATAAGGCCTAGTTTCACGACAGGGCCTTTAACACAAAATACACAATATAAATGGTATTCTCATGTATACAATTCTTACCAACCACACCTACACATCAATTTCTGACTAAGGATTATCTTGAAGGCAAGTAAGGTGGTGCGCCTCTCATAAAATGTGTAAGATTGTGACTACACATCTGTGTCAGGCAAGTGTTTTCTCTGCGCAGCTAAGTGGACAACTACTGGGACAGCTTGACAAAATCAGTGCCTAGAAATGAAATCTCCAGCTGCTTTACCAGATGTCATTCAAAACTTAAAGTTAATAACGACAAAAACCCCTAACCACCATGGCTAGAGGGGAGAGAAGTACATTTTCTTCCCTAGCTATGGAAGGCCCTGGGGCAGTCGTAGACTAAAAAACGTATTTTGAGCTTAAATCTTTCTGCCCGCAACTGTTAAGATAAATAGGATTTGGACACAAGCTGAGTTGCTTATTTTTATGAGCAGAGGTTACGAAAAGCGACCTTATACATCAGCTTCCAAACGGATATCACAGCTCCCACTGCACTAGGGAAGAACTCACACATTTCTCCACTAGGATGCAAAAGTGTACGGCGAAGGCAAAGAACAGGTGTAGGTAATAGGGCCACTTTCAAATTTCTCACTTGTTTCACTTAAGACTGGGTAACAGCCTAAGAACATGAGTGGCCAAATTTCTTTTCTCTCTTTGGCCGCTTAGCCTGAAGGCCCTACCCTAGGGAAACTCAGGCAGTCTCACTTTTGCGGGCGAAACTTTACGGGAGGAAGGAGAAAAAAGAGCTTCCTACTGTTGAGAGAGAGCCAGATGCGATAGGAACCGCGTTTGTAGCAGAACTTGGGGCTGCTCGCGTACCGGGCTGCTTCTCAAGGCCGGGTAATACAAGAAGCCAGGGCCGCTCAGGCACCGGCCACCGACACCGCAGCCAGGGGGAGGGGGCGGGAACGGGAGGAGAGGAGAGACCCAGGCCTGAAACAAAGGAAAAGGGGCTGCTCCAAGAAGGGGTGGATTCGGCGTCCGGGTGGGGAGGAGAGAGCCAAGGCTGCCGAGGGAAGGCTGGACTCACAGAACTTGGAGGTGGAGGTGTTGATGTTGATGGTAGAGCTGGGGGTGGGGGCGGGGGCCGCCTTAGCCACGGCGGCGGCCGCGTCGCAGCCCTTCAACATCATAATCACCCCATTGGCGTCCGGAGGCGGCGGCGGCCCCATCGGGAGCCCCTCCTTGGGGCCTTTCCTGTCCACGGAGACCGTGGGCACCGCCAGCAGCTGCCCGCCCGGGGACTCGCAAGTAGAGACGGGGATCGACGAGGCGGGCGGCGGGGGCTGCCGGAAGCCGTCCACGGCGGCCTCCCAGTTGTTGTGGTTCTGGTCGTCCATCATCGCCTCGTAGATGAGCACCTCCTCCTCTTCCATGCTTTCCTCCATCCTGCTGGCCCCCGGCACCCGCCCGCCTCACAGGCACCTGCCGCCCGTCTCAACCCCGGGCCAGGGGGCGCCGCAGCTGGCTCGCGCTCACATCGCCGGGGACCTGGACGGGCGCTGCTGGGAGGGCAGTGGAGCGCCGGGCCTCTCGCTCTCCGCCAGGCCAAATCTCCCGGAGACCCGGCCGGCTGCGGTGGGCGCTCCGGAGATCGCGTCCTGGGAGAGGCAGCCGTAAAGCAGCAGCGCCGCTCACGACATTTTACAGCAGCTTCCAACAGGAGGTTGGAAAGGGCGCAGGGGGAGCGGCCGGGAGGGCACGTGGTGCGAGGGAAGAGTCTGGAGAAAGCGGAGCGAAAAGGGGCGGGAGCTGTAAGTGACACCCCACACACACACACGCAACAGGACAGAGGTTCGCCCAGCCTCAGCCCAGGGCTGCGAGGGGTGGAGCGACAGAGCCCCGAGAACCCTCATTGGCCCCGCCTCCGGGCCGGCCTCAAGGGAACCGGAAGTTTGATGTGCGCTTGCGCAATCGGGTTACCAAGACGACGAGGAGCGGAGCGGCTCTAGAATCTGCCTGCAAACCTGAGTGGCAGTCGTTGTAGCGCTGCACAACCAGTTGGTCTCGTTTTTCTCCTGTTTGAGGGGTTTCTGGGCTCCAAACCTTCGAGTGCCTTGCAGCCGCAGCCTTTGCTTGGGGACAGAGGTACGGAGCCACAGGAGACCTCGGGGTCAGATTATAAATGGGTCGGAAGGCCTTAAGTGGATTGTTCACGGGCCCGTTTCTGAACCCTGTGACCCAAAATCGAGAATAAAAATCAAAACAGGACAGGGTGGTAAAATATACTATTGCGGTTGAGGTACTCCCGGATCGCCACGCCCCGCCCGCATGCTGGGATTGAAATTGGGGTTTCCACTTGGCTAGGCTAGTGCACTTACCACTCTTAAGCCTTCGTGTGAATGTTTTCAAAGTTCTTTAGCTCCTCTACATACTGAGGCCACAAATCTTTTTTAGTGCCAAGTCTTTTTTAAAACTTCCTGCACTGTTTCAAAAATCTGACTACAAACTGAAGATTTGTGTCTCTTGAGGATCAAAAAAGAAAAGTAACTTAATTTTTTTCCTCAATAAATTTGCATTCTCAAATTATAGTAGTATATGAGAAATATGTTATAATTATTTGTTGGCGCTCATCTTAGCTAATGTTAAGTTGTCTAAAACAATTGTGTTTAAATTAGTAGGTAAAAATATTTCTACACGGTTTGTAGTTAGTGTGCAGTGAGAAATTATTATCTGTGATGTACTTCAGTATCCACATTTTCTTGAGCTTCTCTACATATATTTTCCCCATTTGTTCTGCACGTATTTAATGGAACATATTTACCAACCAGTTGGAATGATTTTAGACAGTGCTGCTACATATTAATCAATGGCTTTTTGTAGTCAGCACTGTGTAATTCTTTGACCTTGGGATGTTTAGGGATACAAAAAAAATTTTTTTAGTGACATAATTTTTTTCTCAACAAACAACTGATAGTTTGTCATAGACTCATAGATGGTGAGTGTGTCTAGAGGTAGTGGCATAATAGAAGATCCAATACATAGGGAAGATAGGAAAATCATAAATGTGTCTCTAATAGCCTGGCTGCAAAGTATTTAAAGCAAAAACTTGATAGAAGTAAAAGATATATCACCATAAAAGGAGGTGATTTCATATATCTTGATGAATTGAAATGGGCTGAGTATGCCTCCCAAAAAAAAGATAGTTCCATGTCCAAATCGCTAGTACTTGTCAATACTTGGAAAAAGAATCTTTGCAGATGTATTTAAGTTGAAGATCTTGGGATCCCTGGATTACCCAAGTGGACCAAAGATCTAATGACAAGTATCCTTCTTAGAGAAAGGCAGAGGAAGATTTGAGACCTATACAAGACAGGGAAGAGAAGAAGGAGGTAATGTGACCACAAAAGTAGAAATTGGAGTAATGTGGCAAGTCAGGAAATAGCCATCCAGTCCTGGAAGAGGCAAAAAGAGAATTCTGCAGCACCTCCAAAGGAAGTGTGACTATACGTTGATTTCAGGTTTCTAGCTTCCACAACTATAAGAGAATAAATACATTTCTGTTTTTTAAGCTGCCCACTTGTAATTTGTTAGAGCAGCTATAGGACACTAATACATAGATCAAAATGTTATGGTTTAGATTTTGTTTGTATTTTTGTTTTTCTGTTTTTCTTCCAGTACCAGGAATTGAACTCAACGACCTTGCGCTTGCCAGGCAGGCGTTTCTGCCACTGAGCTAAATCCCCAGCCCCTGTGATTTAGATTGTGACATGACTCCCAAAACACAGGTGCTAAAAGCCTCGGTTGCCAGCTGATGGGCTTTTTGGGAAGTGATTGAGAATTCTAACTTCACCAGCAGATTAATCGATTGATGAGATCATAATTTGATGGCATTGTTGGGAGTTGATAAAAATAAGAAGGGGACGTGGACCTCGGGTTCTAGATGTGGACCCTGCTTCATCTCTCTCTTTCTCTTTCTCTGTTTCCTGGCTGCCATGAGGCAAGCAGCTTTCCTCCAACACACCTTTCTGCCATGACTTTTCTGCTTTAACCATAGCAATGGAGCCAGCCAACCATGGACTGAAAGTTCTGCAACCATAAGCCAAAATAAAACTTTCTTCTTTTAAATTGCTCTTCTCAGGTATTTTGTCCCAATGACAAAAAGCTGATCAATACTGAGAGGATTAAAAGAAAAAATCTTTAGTTGGATAACACAAATTACCAAATTTAATTTAGTAGAGATATATAGAACCGTGCCTCAAAAACTGCAGAATACACCTTCCTTCCATAAACATATAAAACATTTACAAAAATTGAACATACTAGATCCCAAAGCAAGTCTCTAGATATCTAAGGATTTTGTTGTCATAGCAAACACATTATCTGACCACTGTACAGTTAAGTTGGAAGTCAATTACTAAAAGGTAACCAGTGAGCCCTCATATTTCTGTTCTTAAAACCAACTCATGGATCACAAAATCATAATGGAAATTAAAGAACAAGCTATTGTGGTTTCCTTACAACTGCCCTCCCTGCGTCCTCCAGGGTATACTTTTATCTTGCTTTTTCCTCTTTTACTCAGCCCAAGCTGGCTCTGCAGAGCCAATTTAAGACAATTAGAAAACATTTTAGAATGAAGGGATTGGTACAATCATAGCAATATAACTTCTACCCTGATAAGGCCATAGTTTAGGAGTTTTTACCCAGCATGCTGGTGAATTTGAAACCCTTCATGTGTGTACTGTTAGAATGATCAGCATAAGATTTGTTTTTGTTTTAATTGGTTAAACATAATTATTGCAAAATTGCACAATAGTTGTACCACAGGAGTCACTGACCAGGTACAACTTGTCATAAATAAGAAACACCAAAAAAAAAAAAAAAAAAAAAGAAACACCACCTCCTGAAAGGAAGCCACATGAACCTGTTGATAACTGGTTGACTTCATGTATATGAAAATATGTTATATTTTAATAATTAGAAATCTTCGATGATTTGTTCTGAGGTATGAAAATAGAGCGTATAACATGATTAGTGGCATCGGCACTACACTGGACACAGGTCAATAATCATTACACATCCATAGTCCAGATATTTATCTATCCGTTTAGGTTTTTTGGTTGTATTTTCTAGTAGGCTATGAGTTTCATTACAGCACGATAAATATACAGTGGTACCTCAGTTCACAAACTGCATCCTTTCCACAATACTGGTTGCAAACTGAACTGGTTGAAAACGGAATTAGATTTCCCCATAAGGTCAACATTGAACTTAACCATTGAATTTGATTCAGTTCTCATCCGACTTGGTTTGTGACCAGAATTGCAGAAAGAATGAAGTTCATGAACCAGGGTACCTCTGTATGTGTAAAGTATGTCCATAAATTTACATATGTAAAAAGACTAAAACATTAATAGCCGTTATCTACAGGATTATGGTTTTGATTTTTTACATTTTTCAATGTTTTCTTTGTCCTCTATAGTGAGCACATATTATTTTTATAATCAGAAAAATATTCCAAACTTTAAAGATTAAAAATGGGTATCATAGGTTAAAATGTTTGTTTTGGCTTCCAGAAGCAAAACCTCAAATTTAAAAATGCTTAAAACTCAAAATATTCCTTGGCTAACAGACTGCTAAGTTCTAGGAAGGGCAGAGGTGAAGCATGGTTCGGCCAGGCCTCCAGCTCTGCTGCCATGTTCTTTGCCAGAAATAGTTTCCAGAAGCCGAGCCTTATAGATGCAAACAACAGTATGAAGACGAAGAGGGCCCGTGGATTCAGGTGACTCTCTATTATGAGCAAATTTTTCTCAGAAGCTCTCAGCAAACTCCTCAGGTTCTCATTCTTGAACCAACAACCTGGCCCTTGGTCCTGCATTCCGGAATCATTTCCTGGAAAAAGTATAGATTTACTCCTGGAAAGTAAGGCCTACCCTTGGACTTTAGAATAGTGTCAGTTTCTCCTTAAAACATTGGCTAAGAGGGGAAGAACAAATATTAGGGTCAATTTGGGAAGTGGAAATGCGTGTAGAAAAAATGTCCATTACAGGCCCAAGTACCTAATCCCCTAGAACCATTCATTACATAATCTCATTCCAATTTTCCTACTGCCTCCCCTTCATAAACACCTCCCTAATCAATATACTTATGCAAAATGATGTGTGCACTGATTAGAGTCAAGAAAGACAGAATTCATGTTTAAGTACAAAATGCATATGTGGCCAGTTGTCTAAATGGTCAAGACTTGGGGAGAGACAGAGACTGGGTGACTAAGAATTAATCTTTGTACAGCATTAAATACCTCGATATTACCTTTCCCACAGGATGTCTCATTGCAGCTGTTCAATATTGCTCAACAAATAAATGCATGACTTGCTTAAATCTACTTGACATCTTATTTTATATTTTTTTTCTTTTAGTTAACTTGTACAATATAGCGTGTACTAAATATCAAGTATATTTTTCCTAAGAGAAAGCAAAGTTTATTATTGTAACTTTTACATGTTTTCATCTGTCCTATCAGCCTAACTCTTGCATTGTTAGGAAGGGATGAAATTGCTCAGAGGTGAGCAGTAAGAGAACAGAGAAAAAAGTGTATGAAAAAATCCACAAACCATGCATGACTCTTCTATTAGTGAAGTAAGAACCAATTAGAGAAGATTGTAGGAGACAACATACAGACATACAGATGATTCCTTTTAAC